ATACTCTTCCACCCTCTCGGTGACCTGGTATAATTGGTCTCGGCATACCTCGAAACACGGCCCCATCCTCCATTCCCTGCTTTCCGCCACAGGCTCATCTCCTTCTTCTGCCTCAGCCCAAGTGTGCTGCAGTGCTGGGTCATCTCTCTGTTCTTGTATGAAATCTTCATCCGAAAGTTTGAGTGGAGTTATCATGTCCATCGGGCCCACTGCTTCCCTTGGTTGAGGTAGGTCAAGCCCCCCTCGGTGGCCATCATGGGAACTGGATCAAAGTTCGCTGGAGGACCGGGTTTCCCCCACCATCCCCTTGGGTCCTTCCTGGTTCTTCTGTCACCCCCACTCATCCATTACCCACCTAAATCCTTCCCAATCACGTCTGAGAAGGACCGGGTACACCAACTTTGGTCCTTTCTTGGATTGAGAACTGGTTAAAAGACAGGAAACAAAGGGTAGGAATAAATGGTAAATTTTCAGATTGGAGAGGGGTAACTAGTGGTGTACCCCAAGGGTCAGTCCTGGGACCAATCCTTTTCAACTTATTCATAAATGATCTGGAGAAAGGGGTAAGCAGTGAGGTAGTAAAGTTTGCAGATGATACCAAACTGTTTAGGATAGTCAAGACAGAAGCAGACTGTGAGGGACTCCAAGAAGATCTCACCAAACTGAGTGATTGGGCAACAAAATGGCAAATGAAATTTAATGTGGATAAGTGTAAAGTAATGCACATCGGGAAAAATAACCCCAACTATACGTACAGTATGATGGGGGCTAATTTGGCTACGACAAATCAGGAAAGAGATCTTGGAGTTATCGTGGACAGTTCTCTGAACACTTCCACGCAGTGTGCAGCGGCGGTCAAAAAGGCAAATAGGATGCTAGGAATTATTAGGAAAGGGATAGGAAATAAGACCCAGAATATCTTACTGCCCCTGTATAAAACTATGGTACGCCCACATCTTGAATACTGTGTACAGATGTGGTCTCCTCACCTCAAAAAAGATATTTTGGCCTTGGAAAGGGTTCAGAAAAGGGCAACTAAAATGATTAGGGGTTTGGAACGGGTCCCATATGAGGAGAGGTTAAAGCGACTGGGACTTTTCAGTTTAGAAAAGAGGAGACTGAGGGGGGATATGATAGAGGTCTATAAAATCATGAGTGGTGTGGAGAGGGCTGATAAAGAAAAGTTATTTATTAGTTCCCATAATAGAAGAACTAGAGGACACCAAATGAAATTAATGGGTAGCAGGTTTAAAACTAATAAAAGGAAGTTCTTCTTCACACAGCGTGTTGTCAACCTGTGGAACTCCTTGCCAGAGGAGGCTGTGAAGGCTAGGACTATAATAGAGTTTAAAGAGAAGCTGGATAAATTCATGGAGGTTAGGTCCATAAAAGGCTATTAGCCAGGGGATAAAATGGTGTCCTTGGCCTCTGTTTGTCAGAGGCTGGAGAGGGATGGCAGGAGACAAATCGCTTGATCATTGTCTTCGGTCCACACTCTCTGGGGCACCTGGTGCTGGCCACTGTCAGCAGACAGGATACTGGGCTAGATGGACCTTTGGTCTGACCCAGTATGGCCGTTCTTATGTTCATATGTACAACCACGTAATCCCAGTTCTTTTGGGGGCCATCTATAATCTGTTCCCAGGTCGTAGAATATCAGTGGACATCCCCATGCACACACTGCACATACACTGGGGGTCCCCTTGGTTCTCCCTCCTCCAGCTGGAGTACGCCACGGCTTCTATCAGGCATCCCCTATCTTGACCTGCCTCAGGATCTTGGCCTTTTCCAGCCCCTCTTGAGGTCCCCTCCCCGGTTAAGGCCTGTGTGTAGGTACAGTCCATGTAGGGGCAGCCCCTTTGGAAATGTCCACACCAGAAACATGCCCCTCTTGGGGTTTCCGTGTTCGTTTGGCTCTGTTCCCCTCTGGTTACAGGTGGGCTACGTCTAGACTGGCGACATAAGATGGAATAGGATCTCTTATTCCTACTTGCAAGAGATCCTCCAGAAAAGGGCTTTATTCCGTAGGATCGCGCCAGTCTAGACGCTCTTTTCCGGCTTTTCCCCAAGCCGGAAAAAAAGCGGCGTCCATGTTTATTTAAATCCCGCGGGGGATATTTAAATCCCCCGTGGATTTCCCTATTCTAACTTGCCTGCTTTGCATGCCTATTCCGTCTTATGTGACCAGTCTAGACGTAGCCGTGGGGTCTTCCCTTGGGGTATGCTTCAAAGGGGGATTGTCCATGCCGGTGCTAGCCTCCTGGGCTTGCCTTTTCCCCCTCCTCATACCCGGCCCTCTTCAGGGTCCTTCCTTGGCCTTGGCATCCTCAGAGGTTCCCCCCCCGGGGGGGGGGGATCTCCCCGGTCTCCCTTCTCTAGGCTTTCGGCAACTTTACCCGCCTTGTAGTCACTCATCAGGGTGACTGCCTCCTCAAGGATGGGGGGTGTTGCCTCCTTATCCATCTCTGCCCCCCACTAGGTAGGATGTTCAGGAACTGCTCCACTACCACCATTTCGGCTACCTGGGTTCCCGTGCGCTGCTTGGGTTCCACCCTGCTTCTTTTCGTCTCTGGGCTATCACCCATGGCCTCACTCTAGGCGTATAGCGTTCTTGCCTAAATTTCTGCCTGTAGGTTTCAGGCATAATTCCAAGTTGATCTTTAACCTTAAAATAATGTAAAGTATCCCGGGAGCTCAAGCTTTGGTAGGACAATTGGGCGGGGCCTGTCAGGTAAGGAGCTAATATGGTGGCCTATTGGTCGTCCGGCCACTGTGCCGCTGTCGCAACCTTTTCAAATGTGGTTAGGAAAGCCTCAGGTCATTGGTGGGGCCCATTTTTGACAGGCAGATCGGTATCTGTAGGGATCCACCACCTCTTCCTCCTCACTCACCAACGCTGCAGGACTTCCCCTTTGGGATGGTCCATGCTGCTGTATCCATTGTGCTTGCTGCATTTGGAATTGTTTGGATAATTCTTTCACCAACTGTCTTTGCTGCTCCCAGTGCTGGGAAGAGAGCTGCTGGATCAAGAGAGTCTGTTGGTGGTGGTGTAGCCTTTGGCGCTCCATCAGCCATTTCAATATCTTTGTGGGCTCCATTCCTGGTCTCCCTTTTCTCAGGCAAAAAAACCCAGAACACTGGGTAACGTAACCACTGAGTTCAGTGAGCAACCTGTGTATGGCCGCAGCCCAGGGCCCTAAGGACAAGGACTTGACTGTAGTCCTTTCTGACTGGCAGGGCTTTCCACCGCAACACACTAGCCCATGGGCCTATGTCTATCGCCCTGCCCTGGGCTACTTCCTCTCCCACCCTCTCCACCTACTTGCAGGCGTAGTTTCCCCAGTTCTCCCACCACCGGAGGATGCCAACAGAACCCCACGTGAGATCCTTTTCTCTTCAACCTTCAACACACACCCAAGTTGCAGCCTCTCTGTTTACAGCTTGAAGAGGTTCCACAAACCCCTCTTTATTCCTGGGGAGTGAGCATCCACTGCATTGCCCTTTGTCATTCCCCTTGCTAGACAGGCTAGATAGATGTCCCACTCCCATTCCCTAGCCATGCTCTTAAATAATTTAGGCAACAGGTGGAGGCAGAAAACTAACTTTCCCATATTTTCCCTCCTTTTCTGTTCAGATTCTCCTTCTCTGCAATGTTATATCCCCTTGCTACTTCTTCAGGCCTCCTGCTCCCCACAATCCCCTGTGCCAATGGAGCTACATTATTTCACACCAGCTGTGGATCAGGCCCCTAAAGTTTGTGATGAGCCACCATAATCTAGTGTGCCTGATCATGAGAGGTTGGGTTATTTTATAACTAAATCATCTTTTTCCAGAGTTTTCGTAATGGTAAGAAATGTATTGTCTGTATGTAATAGGAAGTGTTCAAATTAAGAATCTAAGGAATGCAGAAAGAATTATCTGAAATGTAATTTTATCCCTTTGATGTGCTCACTATATTTGCTTTTTGAAAATATTGTGGAAATTATAAGCATTTTTTTTTTGCTGATCTATAATATATAAAGGAGAATGTTTGTATGTTTGTGCGCTAATAACATGGACACCAAGGCTGTGTCTAGACTAGCAAATTTTTCCGGAAAATCAGCCGCTTTTCCGGAAAAACTTGCCAGCTGTCTACACTGGCCGCTTGAATTTCCGGAAAAGCACTGACGATCTCATGTAAGATTGTCAGTGCTTTTCCGGAAATACTATGCTGCTCCCGTTTGGGCAAAAGTCTTTTTCCGAAAGACTCTTGCGCAAAAGGGCCAGTGTAGACAGCACAGTACTGTTTTACGCAAAAAAGCCCCGATCGCAAAAATGGCGATCGGGGCTTTTTTGCAGAAAAGCGCATCTAGATTGGCCACGGACGCTTTTCCACAAAAAGTGCTTTTGCGGAAAAGCATCCTGCCAATCTAGACACGCTTTTCCGAAAATGCTTTTAATGGAAAAGTTTTCCGTTAAAAGCATTTTTGGAAAATCATGCCAGTGTAGACGTAGCCCAAAAGAGCTACCGCAACCAAACTTTGCATGGGATAACCTTTCATCCAAGAGAAGGTTTTAAGGGACTGTGGGAGGGCAGAGATGAGAGACTGACGCCTCTCCCAGGGGCTGCATGGAGCTTGGCAGTGCAGGGAGAAACAGCTTCCCAGGGGAAGCATCGGGGACAGTCACTCACTAAGGCCAGCAGAGGGGAAAGGAAGCGGAGGGCGGTCTTAGGCACCGGCAGCAGGCGCGTGTCTCCCTTTCCCCCTCCCTTCCTCCCTCCCTTCAGGCTCCTCACCTCAGTTATATCAACTTTCCCGAGCAACTCTGGGTAACTCCAGTTAGTAGAGTCATAAACAAAAGCTTCTATGATTTTCTCCTGAATAAACATTACAAAGAATCATCAAAGGCCAAAGCAAAAAGATTTCTCTAGTTTTGCTGAAAGGGTGAAATTTTGTAAAGCACATGAAAAATGAAAGACGTGTCTTGACCTTTCAGTCTGAAGTTCTGCTTACTTTCAGGAAGTGCAAGAAATGTATACAGAGTCTGCTTAGATCAGGGAATCTGGCAAACCAAAGAGAACTCTACAGATATTTGGCGTGATCATTCAGAGTGCTTTGAGAAGAATCATTTCACCCAAGTGAGTGTTTTCTTTTCTGCTTTAATACTTTAATCCCTTCTTGAATAATTGATCAGATGTTTCCATTCAATAGATGTAGAAGAGAGCCAGACTTATTTAAGCTATGATATGGAAACCTTTGCTTGTATTTTGAACAAGGATTAGGGCTCAAAGAATTCTGAATGCTTTGGGTTTAGCATATACGGCAGTGCATAGACAATCCGGGACATTTTTGAAGAGCATTGGGGACAATTTCCTGGTGTAAATGCTGGAGGAACCAACTAGGGCTCCTGCTCCTCTTCACCTGCTGCTCGCAAACAGGGAAGACTTGGCATGGGAAGTAGAAATGGATGGCAACCTGGGCAGCAGTAACCATAAGAAGGTTGAATTCAGACAAAAGGAAGAAGGGTGAGCAGCAGAATATGGACCCAGGATTTCAGAAAAGCAGATTTTGACTCCTGCAGGGAACTGATGGGCAGGATTGCCAGGAGACTAATATGAGGGGAAAGCAGTCCAGGAGAACTGGCTGTATGGTAAAGAAGCTTCACTGAGGGTGCAGGAGCAAACCGTGCCAATGTGCAGAAAGAATAGCAAATATGGCAACCGATCATCTTGTCTTAGCAGAGAAATCTTTGGTGAGTTTCAGTACAAATAGAAGCTTACAGGATGTGGAAACTTGGACAGATGACCAGGGAGCAATCTAAAAATATTGCTTGGTCATATAGGAAGGCCAAAGAGCAGTTAGAGTTGCAGCTAGAAGAGATGTGAAGGGCAACAAGAAGGATTTCTGCAGGTATGTTAGCAATAAGAAGCAATTCAGCACAATACGTGGAGGAGGGGAGCAGCCCTCATTGGTGAAAGAACATGTTAAGGACTGTTTAGAGAAGCTGGAAATGCACAAGTCCATGGGACTGAATCCAGGCATCCGAGGGCGTACAAAGAGTTTAGCAAAGCTTTTGATATGGTCTCCCAGAGTATTCTGGCAAGTTAAAGAATGGACTATAAGGACTGGATAAATTGACTATTAAGTGAATAGAAAACTGGCTAGATCATCTGGCTCAACAGGTAATGATCAACTCTCAATGTCTAATTGGCAGTCGGTATCAAGCGGAGTGCCCTAGGGCTCAGTTCTGAAGCCAGTTTTGTGTAACATCTTCATTCATGATCTGGATGAGGGGGTGGATTACACCCTCAACAAGTCTGGGATGACAGTATGATCAGGGGAGAGGTAGATATCCTGGAAGACAGAGAGAGGGTTTAGCGTTACCTAGAGAAATTGGAGATTTGGGCCAAAAGAAATCTAATGAGGTTCAACAAGGACAACTGCAGAGTCCTACACTTAAGGTGTTTCTAAACTACACCCTTCTGTCAGCAGAGGGATATAAATTAGACACATCGAAAGTGCAAATAAAGTGGAGATTCAAATATCCCGCGTTTCATTTGCATAATGGCGGTGGCCACTTTTTTTTCAAAACGGGGCCTTTTGGGGAAAAAATGGCAGTTTAGACAGGGCATTTGCAACAGAAATGCCCCATTTCAAAAGATCCTGTACTCCTCAGGTACTAAATTGCCCCATTTTGAAAAAAAGCAGCAGCTGCCATTATGCAAATGAAGCATGGGATATTTAAATCCCCGCTTCATTTGCACTTTCAATGTGTCTAATTTACATCCCTCTGCCAACAGAAGGGTTTAGTTTAGTCACTCCCTTAGCCCTGGTCTACAATAGGGAGTTATTTCTAAATAACTCCCCTTATTTCAAAATACAAAAGGAGCATCCACGCTACCAAGTCCGTTATTTCAAAATAACCAGCTGGTTATTTCAAAACAATAACTCCCGCTTTCCATAAGAAATAATGCTTATTTAGAAATACTTATTTCAAAATAGTTGTAATGTGGACATGCCACTGCTGCTATTTTGAAATAACTACTCCCCAGAGTTATTCCAAGTAATTATTCCACAGTGCTTCCTGGGGCTCTAAATTGATGTAGCGTGTCCACATTAAAGGAGCCTTCCTTAGACTAATTTTGAGGCTTCCCTGTAGTGTGGATACATTATTTCAAAATAGTTATTTTAGGAGTTATGGTTTCAAAATAATTTTCTAGTGTAGACATGTCCTTAGAATGGAAGAATCCCAAACATTGCTACAGGCTGGGAACAGACTGGCTAATCGGCAGTTCTGCAGCAAAGGATTTGGAGATTATAGTAAATGAGAAGCTGGATATGAGTCAACAGTGTGTCCTTGTTGCCACGAAGGCTAACAGCATATTCGATTGCATTAGTAGAAGCAAACCCAGCAGATTGAGAGAAGTGGTTATTCCCTTCTATTTGGCACTGGTGAGGCCACATTTGGAGTATTGTGTCCAGCATTGGGTCCCACTCTACATAAATGATGCCTTCCATTGGACTTTTTCCAATTTCTCTGCAACAAAAATGATTAGGAGGCTGGTGCACAACTTACAAATTGAGGCTGAGGAAACTGGGCTTATTTAGTCTGTAGAACTGTGGTCACCAACCCATTGATTGCGATCGACTGGTTAATCATGGGGACCCAACCAGTTGATCACGAGGCTTTTAGGGGTCCCCCTCGCTGCCTCCCACCCCCAGGATGAATGCCGCACTGATGTTAGCTCCCGGGACAACAGAGGTAGTGCAGGCTTTCTGTGGGGTGGGGGAGAATTCTGCAGCTGCGTGCCAGGTCCCAGAAGTGCGCAGGCTGCTCTCCCTCCCTCCTCCCCACCCAACAGCCGGCGCAGTACATAAAATGCAGGTCCACCACGCACCGGGGACTTTGTTCCCCTCTGCCTTCCTGGGTGCGGGAGAGGGGGCGGGGGTCCATGACTGCACCAGCTCCATCTGCTCAGGGGGCGTGCACTGCTGTGGGGAGTGGAGGAGTAAGGTGCACGCTGCCTGAGTGGTTGGGGCTGGCGTGGTCCTGGATTCCTCCTCCCCCCCCATGCAGGAAGGCAGCAGGGGAATAAAATCGCCAGCATGCCGGCTCCAGCTGCTCAGGCAGTGCATGCTGCTTTGGGGAGCAGAAGATCAAAGTGTATGCTGCCTGAGAAGTTGGGGCTGCCATGGTCTGGGACTCTCCTTCCCCCTGCTCCCCTCCCACAAATAGGAAGGCATCAGGTGTGCGATGGGCCAGCGTTTCATGTACCATGTCACTGTTTGGGGGATGGGGAAGCAGCCTGTACACAGCCTTTGAGAAAATAAACAGTTTGGCACTTGCCACTTTTGGTCACCTTCAGCCATCATCTCCCATCAGCCTTCACTCTCCAGCTGTGAATCAAAGATCAAGTCAAATTTCAGCCTCTTTGCACAGACAGTATTGCGCACACGGAGACAAGAAAGGTACTGTACACCTGTTCTATTCTTGGCAAGTATTTGCTGGATCTCACAGGGGTTCCTGCCTGCACTGCTTGCAGTGGTGCTTCAGAATACAGTACGATGCACTTGCTGTGATACTGTCCCCTGAGCCCTATTTCTGTTCCTGTTCTTCCTGTAACTTCTCCTGTTTATGTGGACCTGCTTTGACATAGGTGTGATAGCAGTTGGTCGAGGCAAATCCATGGCAGGTATCTACCAACAACAGAGAACTCAGCCACTGTTTCAATCAAACTCAGTGGTGAAACCCTCCCACACCCATGATATCAGCTCATTCTGTTCCCATGGTGCTGGATCGTGCACAGCTGCTGCTGCTTGTCAGCCTGGAGAGAGACTTCTAACAGCACAACAGCATGCTGGGAATGGCCAGTGTCTCTTTTGCTCCCTGATGGCCCTCTTGTTCCAGTATCCCTACCCCATTTCCCTTTCATCAAGTGGCAGGTGTATTTTCTTCTGCATTATGGAAAAATACCAGAAAGCAGATCATGGCAGGCTCCAGCACTATGCCCTCTCAAGGGTGTGGTCTCCAAGGGTGTGTCTAGACTACATGGCTCCGTCAACAGAGCCATGTAGAAGAATGTACTTGGCAAAGGGAAATGAAGCGGCGATTTAAATAATCGCCACTTCATTTATATCAAAATGGCTACTGCGCTGTGCCGATCAGCTGTTTCACGAGGCATAAAGGATCTGATGACAAAGGGTTCTGGGGTTGGCTGATCCCTGTCTAGACTATTGCGCTGTGCCGACAAACTGGAGTTAGCTACAAACAGCTAAATGACAATGGTGAAGACAATAACGTCTATGCCAAAGCATTTGAGCCATCGGAGGAAACAGTGAAATTGCTCAGAAGAAGATACGACTACCAGGCAATCCAGGCAGGGGTTTGGTGAGTAGTGTGTACTGTGGAGCTGTGCTCTGACTCTAGGATGTTTCAGCTTGTTTCCTAATGAGAAGCTTTAGTAAAGCTAGAAAAATAAATACATGGTGATGGATCATCTAAGCAGCCATTAGCTCCACCCCACTTCTACTTCCTGTGGGCAGGTAGGAGGAACCACCCTCAATCTGAGACACTCTAAGGAGAGACAATAAGAGCCTGCCTTGAAAAACCACAAGCTTCTATTTACTTGAATAAAGCCTGGTCTGGAGATGGCAACCCAGACACGAGGCCTGAAGAATCCTGTCTCTCAACTGGACAGTCCCAGGGACCCATATATTTACTGCTATTGCTCACTTTGGACTCTAACTCTGTAAGCCTCTGTTCCTGAGGTATTTCCCATTTCCTGTCACCCCTAATAAAATAGCTCTTCACTTGCTATGAATCTCAGTGGTTCCTGGGATCTTCCAGAGGTAGTGCCCACAACACTTGGTTGACAAAGTACTGCACCACTTGACTCCAGTTGAAATAGACTGTAACACTGCTGGCATCTTAAGATTTTGGTGTAACTAATTCTTGAGCATCTCCAATAATTGCAAAATGCACCAGAAATAGGTCTGAAAGAAATGAAAAGATAAAAAGAAAAGCGGTGCCGAATGGTTTGTGCTCAAATTGCCTTTTCTGAATCACTTGAAGTTAATTTATCCTTTGCATCTTTAGTTTAGAACCAAAACCAATGTAAGTGGTGTTCAAAATGTCTGCACCTGATAGATTTGATTTTCAAAACTACCACCCAAAAATGTGTGTTCAGTTGTTTACCCAATTTGCACAAGTAGTTATTCTGCTTGCATGCAGAATTTAAGTAATTTCAAATGAGTAGTGAGCTGGTTTAAACTCAGGATGTCTTCTCACATCACCAGAAGGAGACATGACCTAGAAAATAAGATGTTTCAATTTAGTACTAAAGAACAGCTATACTTAATTATTTTAAAACAAAACTAATATTTAAAGGAAAAAATATTTTGATTATGACATAACATGTCGACAGTAATAGTGCATAATATGATATCACACAATAACAAAAGTGATGTAAAATGAAAATAAAACACATTTTAAAAGAAAATTGTTTTATATCAAATTTCAAAATTGAAATTTTCCATTGAAAAATTATAAAGGAATTGTCATCAAAATTGCTATGATTTCATGAACAATTTCAGTTTAATCAAAATGGCATTTTCTCATAGAAAATTGTTTGATGAAAAATTTCTGCCCTCTGTTAGTAATTATGAATTTATTTGGCTATCTTCATACCCTGGTACTCAATTTGTATATGTAGTCATGGTGGCTGTTGTTAAAAACTAGGCTGGCAGTGGGGCATGCATCATTTTCAAAATTAGACCCTAAGTGCCTATTCCAAATATTACATTATTTCAAATTTTAAAACTTGCTAATCATACCTGGCTTTCTATAGCACTTCCCACCTGTTGATCTCACAGTTGTTAGTATGGAGAGTTATTTACAGAAGGAGAAACTGAGGTTTGGTTTTTTGGGTTTTTTTAATGGTTAAGTGACTTGCCTAAGGAAACACAGCTTATTAGTTCAAATCATAGAACCCTGATGTCTTAACTCCCAGGCATGTGCCCTATTAGGTGGGCCAGGCTGATTCTCACACTTGTGCAACTTACTTATTTTTCTCTGTTCATATGATTAGGAAGAAGGACACATGTTACTTTCTACACTACAATTACTGTACACCGTTGGATACTACTTGTCTCTCAGTTCCCTTGTATTAGCTCTACTTATACTTCTGCTCCTCAGGTTAGTGTCAACCAATATTACTAATACATATCTTGTAGTCTGGAATTTATCTGTATATGGATTCTTTTTTCAAGTAACTGAATTTATAATTCTTTGTCATCACATACATTTTAAGGAAATGGCCTATGCAAATGTAATTCTTGAGCAATAGTTGTTGATGCAGCAATATGAATACAATGATATTGTTCCTAATTAAATTTATTCTAAAAGATTCATAAAAGGGAATGTTTCTTTTTGTACTTCTACAGAAAACTTCACTGCACTAGAAATTACATCCATATAAATTTATTTGCTTCCTTTATACTGCGAGCTATAGCAGTTCTTATAAAAGATACTATAACCCATAATAATTATTCAAAAAAACCAGATAATGAAACTGGATGGATTTCCTACTTCAATCCTGAGGTAATTCTGTTAGTTCATTGTTAATAGTATATTTGTTGCTGCAATAGTTAAAGTTGCAAAACAGTTTCCCTTAGCACTAACAGGTTTTTGAAACTGAGAAGTGAAGTATGAAAATTGAAATTTTGCAGAAAATAATATTCATGGAGAATCAGGGTAAAAATTTGGTTCAGAATTTATTTTGATTTTATTTAGATACATAGAAGATTTACTGCGTGTTGCTTAGGTCCTTAGCTCAACTAATGTTTGTTTTTCTTAATTTAAATAATGCTCTCAGAGGGCTGAGGTTGAGAGGTTCAGTAGGTAGTCTACTCCGGGGAAAGAGGACTGCCCCAAACCCTTGCCCTGTATTAAGTTATGAGAAGATAACTGTACTCAGAGAGTAGTTATTAATCATTCACAATCCTGCTGGAAAGGTATAATAAGTGGGGTTCCGCCGGGATCTGTTTTGGGACTGGCTCTGTTCAATATCTTCATCCATGATTTAAATACCGGCATAGAGAGTATGCTTATTAAGATTGCAGATGATACCAAGCTGAGAGGGGTTGCAACTGCTCTGGAGGTCAGGGTCATCATTCAAAATGATCTGGACAAATTGGAGAAATGGTCTGAGGTAAACAGGATGAAGTTTAATAAAGACAAATGCAAAGTGCTCCACTTAGGAAGGAACAGTCAGTTTCACACATAGGCTACGTCTACATTGGCCCCTTTTCCGGAAGGGGCATGCTAATTTTTCAGATCGTAATAGGGAAATCCGCCGGGGATTTAAATATCCACCGCGGCATTTAAATAAAAATGCCCACCGCTTTTTTCCGGCTTTTAGAAAAGCCGGAAAAGAACGTCTACACTGGCCCCGATACTCCGGAAAAAAGCCCTTTTCCGGAGGATCTCTTATTCCTACTTTGAATAAATAGGGCTTTTTTCCGGAGGATCGGGGCCAGTGTAGACATTCTTTTCCGGCTTTTCTAAAAGCCGGAAAAAAGCGGCGGACATTTTTATTTAAATATTTAAATCCCCCGCGGATTTCCCTATTACGATCTGAAAAATTAGCATGCCCCTTCCGGAAAAGGGGCCAATGTAGATGAGCCCATACAGAATGGGAAGCGACTGTTTAGGAAGGAGTTATGGCAAAAAGGAATCTAGGGGTTAAAGTGGACCATAAACTGAATATGGCAGTATGATGCCATTGCAAAAAAAGCAAACATGATTCTGGGATGCGTTAACAGGTGTATTGTGAGCAAGACACGAGAAATCATTCTTCCTCTCTACTCTGCGCTGGTTAGGCCTCAGTTGGAGTATCCAGTTCTGGGCACCGCATTTCACAAATATGTGGAGAAATTGGAGAGGGTCCAGAAAAGAGCAACAAGAATGATTAAAGGTCTAGAAAACGACCTATGAAGAAAGGCTGAAAGAACTGGGCTTGCTTAGTTTAGAAAAGAAAAGACTGAGAGGGGACACAATAGCAGTTTTCAGGTATCTAAAAGGATGTTGTAAGGAGGAGGGAGAAAACTTGTTCATCTTGGCCTCTGAGGACAGACCAGCTCCTCAGGGTAGAAGCTCTCTCGCAGGGCCTCCTGGATACTGACAGCCCCCCGATGGACATCCCGGATGGCAGCCTGCAGAAAGTGCAGCCAGGCTCACAGCAACGTGTCCAAGAGATGCACCAGAGTGTCCAGGGGCAGCTCCAGCTCCATGTTGCAGAGTGCTATGCTGTTCCGAGTGAGGGCAAGCAGAGCACGCAGAGACAAAATGCTTTGCTGTCCCTCATCGAGGTAGGCAAGCAAGCAGGGAAACCTGAGAACTGGCTGCCCGTGTCCCTTTAAGCACAAGCCTCAGAGAGTCCCAGGCAGCAGCCACACACTTGACCTGGTGCCTTGCCGGACCTGGTTCTGGCAGGCTTTAAATGTGATTCAGTGGATGCACTATTTCAAAATAGCAAAAGGCTATTTTGAAATGCATTTTGTGTTTAGACGCGTTATTTCTAAACTTATTTCGAATTAACTATTTCGAAATAAGATATTTCGAAATAATGCTGTAGTGTAGACATACCCAAAGGGAGGCTGACGGGGCATTCACTCCCACGAAGATGGTTTAAAATACTTTTGACTTTTGTTTACATAGTTAGAGTTGTGTACCTTAAGATGATCTTCTGGGTCTAGTAAAACTCAGTATAAAATAGACTGATGATTACTATTAAGAGTAACATAGCTATTGAACTGATTAAATTATTCATAAATTCTGAGATTTCAAGACAAGAAGAGACTATTATAATAATCTAGTCAGACTTCTTGCAGAACATAGGGCATACATTTCATCCTGTTGCAACTGCATCAAGCCAATAATATCTGACAGAGCAAACATCTTAGGCAGATATCCAATCTTGTTATAAAGACATCAAGTGATGAAGAATCTATCACTTCTCTATGTAAGTGGTTTCAGTGGTAAATTATCCTTTCAATTAAATTTTTGACTTATTTGCAGCTTGAAATTATCTAGTTTCATTTCCCAGAAACTGAATCTTATTCTGCCTTTGTGTGCTAGATCTAGGAGCCCTCTACTATGAGGAATCTCTTGGTACTTACAAATTATCATCAAATTCCCTCCTAATCTTTGATAAGTTAAATAGACTGAGCTTTCAAGTTTCTCACTGTAGGATAGGTCTGTAAGACACTGAGTCATGCTGATAATTCTTTTCTTTTCCTTTTTCTACTGTAAGGCCATTATCAGTCAAATTTGCCATTTCATTAAAAATGTCACGTTTGTTTGGCAAAATATATTTTCTAAATAAAACACACGGAGCAGCATTAATTGTGTTGTCATGTTTTATTTCAATATTGATTGTATCCGTTAGCATTAATGCAATGATGTTGCCCTGGATCAGTGTCAAATTAACTTACCTATAGTTGCCCAGGTCATATCCTTTTCCAATATTGACTTATTTTTCCAGTTTCTAAAGACTGAATTCAAAGACATGTTAAAAATCAGCATCATTAGTTCACAAAGCTCCTCAGTCAACTTTTTAAAACTCTTGCATACAAATTGTCCAGACTCACAGATTTTAGAAATGTTAAATTTGGTATACACTCTTTTACTCCTATTTTACTTTATAGCATTTCATGTATCTCATTTTCACTGTGATATTTGAATACATCATCCAGCTTCTCAGAACAGAATTATTTATTGAACATGTTTGCCTTTTGACAATTTTATCATCTCCAAGTGATAACATGTTTACCATTGATAGGATTTCAATTTTGTCCCACAAGTTTTTAAATACTTACTCATGCCTTAGCATTATTTTGACAACAAAAGAGGATGTTGCTATCCCAATTAATCTGTCAAGTCTGTCATCCAGAACATTAGGAAACATAGTATAGGAAGGAGGAAGACAGCTTTTGGTGGGGAAAACAGGTTAGGAACTATTTAGAAAAGCTAAACACACACAAATCCATGGGTCCAGGTTTAATGTATCCAAGCATACTGAGGGAGTTGGCAAATGTCATTGCAAGCCTTTGGCCATTATCTTTGAAAACTAGTAGAGATGGGGAGAGATCCTGGATGATTGGAACAAGGCAAATGTAGTGCCCATCTTTAAAAAAGGGAAGAAGTACAATCCAGGGAATTACAGAACAGTCAGCCTTATCTCAGTCCATGGAAAAATCATGGAGGGGATCCTCCAGGAATCCTTTCTGAAGCACTTGGAAGAGGGGAAAGTGATCAGGAATAGCCAACATGGATTCACCAAGGGCAAGTCATGCCTAACCAATTTGATTGTCTTCTCTGTGGATGAGAAAAAGTCAGTGGATGTGATACACCTTGACTTTAGCAAAGCTTTTGATGCTGTCTCCCACAATATTATTTCCAGCAAATGGAGGGAATATGGATTGGATAAATGGACTGTTAGATGGATAGAAAGCTGGCTGGATTGTTGGACCCAACGGGTAGTGGTCAACAGCTTGGTGTCGGGTTGGAAGCCAGTTTCTAATGGAGTGCCCAAAGGATCTGTTCTAGGACTTGTTTTGTTCAACATCTTTATTAATGACCTGGATTAGAGGATGAATTGCACCCTGAGCAAGTTTGCAGATGACACTAAGCTAGGGGGAGAGGTAGATATGCTGGAGGGCAGGGGTAGGTTCCAGGGTGACCTAGACAGATTAGAGGATTGGGCCAAAAGAAATCTGATGAGGTTCAGCAAGGACAAGTGTAGAGTCTTGCACTTGGGATGGAAGAATCCCAAGTATTGTTACAGGCTGGAGACCAAATGGCTAAGTAGCAGTTCTGGAGTACTGTGTCCAGTTCTGGGCCCCCGACTATAGAAAGGATGTGGATGCATTGGAGAGGGTCCAGCGGAGGGCAACCAAAATGATTAGGGGGCTGGTGCCTGACCACATGACCTATGTGGAGAGACTGAGGGATTTGGGTTTGTTTAGTATGCAGAAGAGAAGAGTGAGAGGGGATTTGATAGCAGCCTTCAACTTCCTGAAGGGAGGTTCCAAAGAGGATGGAGAAAGGCTGTTCTCAATAGTGACGGTTGGCAGAACAAGGAGCAACAGTCTCAAGTTCAGTGGGGGAGGTTTAGGTTGGCGATTAGGAAAAACTATTTCACTGGGATGGGTTCCCTAGGGAGGTGGTAGAATCTCCATTCCTAGAAGTTTTTAAGTCTCAGCTTGACAAAGCCCTGGCTGGGTTGATTTAGTTGGGATTGGTCCTGTCTTGGGCAGGGGGCCGGTCGAGATGACCGCCTGAGGTCTCTTCCGGCTCTATGATTCTAACATTGGTTTCCCTACTATGAAGATGGAGACCATCCAACCTGTATACTTCCCGCTTTCCACAGAAGGTGACTCACTTTTTCTATGAAATCCAAATCCTCTACATTGCACCACTTACCTACTCAATGGTTTATCTCCTGCATCTTGTGCCATCTGTCTTTTGCTCGTGGGACAAACAATCCAGAGAAAATTCCCTTCCTCTCATTCATCTTCCATTCCAGAATCCCAAGCCTT